TTCTATCGCCACGAACGGGTCCATGGAGAGGCTCCCCGGCGCGACCTTCTTCAGATGCAGGAAGCACGAGCAGTAACCGTGCCATGATGCCGCTTTCCTCCACCGCACGTCCCGCATCCCCAGCCCTTTCTCAAACCACGTCCGGCCTCCAACAGTCCAAACTCCATCGTCCGTCCCCTCTTCATCTGAAGACTACATCACCATCGCGACCCCCGCCTCCGCCTTCACAGAAATTTTCGCCGACCTCTCCCTCTGTCGCCCCTGTTCCACCTTCCCCACCACTCCCACCGCAGAACTTTACAGCAAGCTTAGTATTCGCGCCGCAGAAGGCAAACGCAGTTGAGTCGAGGTGGCTGGAGAAGATTGGGCAATCGTTTGAGGATCAGGAGACGAGGGAGCTGTGGCCAGTCTTGTTACGACATCTGGATGGGAAACATGCGCTTGAAGACATGGGAGTCAGAGAAGGGTTGAAGAGGAAAAGAGTCGCAGCGCTTTTTGCGGCGGTTAGGGAGGGAGGTTGGTTGGTTGTTGTGCGGCATTGGTGAATATTTGGATGTTCACACTGTAAACTTGACGTTGTTTTGCGATTTGTTCCATTTTAATTTCATTGAGATACCCCCTTGTGCTGTCGAAAAAAGAAAAGCATCCTGTTATTTTCATCCATCGCCATCATGCCATGAAACCATGTTATACACAGCCAGCCAACCAGCCAGCGTGCCAGCCAGCCAGCAGTGAGAACACACTAATGCTCGGCACCACCACTCAAACGTGTCCCAGGTTCAGATGGCCTGTTCCCCCAACTCCTTCTTGGTCCGCTCGCCCTCGCTCACGACCTTGGACTCTGCACCCTCCTTCTGCATCCCCTCGCACCCCACCAATCCGCCAACCTTCTCCTCCACCCCACCAAAGCCTTTCTGCGTCGCGTCTCGAGCTTCGCCGGCTTTCTTCATGTCGGCAACCGCGGCTTCCTTGTCCTGAACCCCAGAGCTCTTCCAGGCGTGTGCCCCCGTCACATTTCCGATGGCTTCCTGCGAACATTGTCACCCACCAGTCAAAAGAAACGAACATGTAGGACCATGTAGTAGAGGGGAAAAGGCCCGATCAAAGAACTGTACATACCTCAGCGGCGCCCTTTACATATTGCGCATGGCTGGCCACGAGGCCTGGCTGTTGTTGTTGTTGTCCTTGGGTCTGGTCTGAAGACATGGCGCGCGGAGGGGAGACGGGGAGACGGGGAGGCGGGGAGGCGGGAGGCGGAAGGGGGAGCTATTTATTCAATAAAGAGATTTGGCTAGAATGCGTTGATTAGATACATACGGACCCTCGATGGATGAATGGATGGATGGAGAAGAAGAAGAAGAAGAAGTAAGAAGAAGAAAGATAATTACTAGGGTGTCTATTGTAACCAACAGTGTCAGTCAGGATTCGAGAGGTTGATCGGGATTCGGGATTCGAAATATATATCCGATAGGCTTCGGATAATTCTTATGGTCTCGAGGGAAGGGTTTTTGCTCGAGGGAAATAAATCGGTGAGGTTGTTTGTTTGTCAGGTATGTATGTACGTATGTAACTATGTATATATGTATATATATATATGCATATATATATAGTTAGAAGAGGGGTGGAAATCAATGACGTCATTGTTTGCATCCATCCCACACATGTACTGTATGTAGTAATTCTGGAGTGGAGTAAAATAGTTAATAATTAGCGGATTCATGGGAATTAATTATGTATCATCATGTCATGGCACTCACTCACTCACTCACTCACTCGCTCAAGAAATCCTTGCCGTTGGGCGAGTACCAAACACCTACTTGGAACGCGACCTTTTCGCACATGAGGAAATAAAACACGCATGTGTATTGCTGGATATACTTTGAACCACTTGTTTGTGGCATTGTTCTTTCCTGGGGACGAGTGATTTACAGAAACATACAAGGCTCTCTCTCTCTATTTTGGGCAATGCGCTGCAAAAAGGGGTTCGAGTTCCTGATCCAGTATCTCGAGAGACGATAAAAAAAAACGTCTTTGATTATAGGCGCGTTGGTGTATACACGTACGTACAGTACTCTATCCATGCCCGATCTTGGTTCCTGTATAACCCCCGTGTCTTGCATACCCTCATCCGCCGCATGCGCCAACTAATACGTGCTCGGGAAAACGCTCAATCTTCCACCATCACTGATCTGCACAGTGCCATTGACATAGGCACCCCCTTTCCCGATCAAGAACAATGCGAGTCCTGCAATGTCATTCACATTTCCCATGCGTCCCTGTGGTACCTGATTTGTGCCAAACTTGCCATCTCTCCCCGAGGTCATCTCACTCGGATAGGGACCAGGACACACGACATTGCTCCTGATGCCCCATGGTGCGAAAACGGAGGCGAGAATCTTGCCGAGTTGTGCTGCGCCAGCTTTGGTTGCGTTATAGGCAAGACCGGCGGTGGCTTGGCGCATGAAAGATGCGACGGAAGCAACGGTGATGATGTGTGAGAGTCGGTCGTCGTCCGCGGCTACGTCGATGTCCTTGAGAACGCTTGTGTCTTGTTTTCGCGGGTTCCCAGTGCCCTCAACTTTGCCCTTTGCCCAACCTCGACGTGTATTGGCCGCGTCAAGAAGTGGCAAGAATGCAGCCGACACACCTACTACCGACTGCGTGTTGATTGCCATACAATTCTCCCATCCCTCCCAGTCTTTCAGCATGATATCGCGGAGCTCGTCTATTGATTTCGCACCGTACAACGCCGCCCCGTTCTGTGGGCCTGTTACACCAGCATTGTTTATCAAAACATCTACATATCCCGTCTCCTTGGTGATTTGAGCTACGGCCGCGGAGATGGAGTCGATATTTGTTACGTCGCAAGAAATGGCAGAGAGTACCGACGACGAGGAGGAGGAGGAGGAGGTCTTCGGGGCTGAGGGTGAGCTTTCAAGCGTCTTGATGCCTGCTTCGAGTGTGCCGGTGCGTCGGCCTAAGAGGTAGATCTTGGCTGCATTGTTCTGGTAGAGCGCGGACGCAATGGCCAGGCCAATTCCTGAGATTATGAGTATCTATTGGGTTCTCTTTGCTGGACAAACGAGGGAAGGAAATGTGGTGGTGGGGTGGTGGGGTAGCCTTGATAGTATGGAATGCGTACCACTGCCTCCTCCTGTAATCACAATGACGAGTCCCTTCGCAGAGAATAAGGCTGCAGGATCGAGATAGGCCTGAACGTCCATATTTTCCCCGGGTAGAGGGGGTGGGGGCAGTTCGGAAAATTTCGAGTGTTTTGGGGAAGGGGAACTGTTCGTGTAATTTATTGGTTACGATGTCGTGATCGGTGGTTGCTCCCCCAAGAGGTCCAGCTAGTCATGTTCCTTTAATCAATGCAAGCATCGGCATCGTCCGTACAAAGCCGATCGGCCTTCGAATGGAGTCACTCAACTCCAAACTCAGTAATCGGTTGGAAGGCGAGATGAGCATTGGAGATATTTGATACGTCCGAACGTCCCATCGTGAGCGGACAATCGGAGCACTCGGAAATCGTCATCACAAACCACATGTGCAGAAGAGCACCGAAATGCATTGACACAATCGACCATCCAGAAGGGGTATCTTGCTCGAATCATCCCAAACGCCTATATTTGTGCGAACCGGTCAATTGATGGCACCCACAATCTTCAATCCCCCACTGTCGGCGGAATACGCCAACACGTATTTGCACGGATGCCAGGCCACATGTGCTGCCGGCTGGGGGAGGTCAATCGTGTGCACGTACTCGCCAGTCTCCACGTGCGCGATCTGGAGTTTCTTCTCCTCTGTGCCGTCTGCGCCAGCCGCTATGTAGCTCCCGTCGAAGGAGAAATCTACACTCCTGACCGGACCCTGTGTCATATTCAAAGTGCGCACGCATATCCACTCTTGTGTGTCCCAGAACGACACCAGGCCGTCGCCTCCTCCAGCTGACATATATTCTCCGCTGGGTGATATGTTGACCGCGAAACATGAGGATGTGTGGGCCGTGAGCATGATTTCGGTTTCAAAGGTAGGGTATTTCATTATTTTTACACAGCCATCGCCGCTGGTAAGGAAGAGGCGCGTGCCGGTCCAATCGAATGCGGTCTGATTCGTCTGGACGTTCTGCTGGTGTTCCGCGACGACCTTGAGCGCAGTGCGATCGACTTGTACGAGTAGATTGTCCTACGATTAATGAGCTTCTGACGCATTGTCAAGTTCCCAATTCATCATTGACTTACCTTCCTCCCCGCTACAATTTCGGTCCCATCAGGCTTCCACGCCAGTGTGAACGGCTGCTCGCCCACCTTTACCTCACCAACACTAGCCTTGGATCGCACATCCCAGAATCTCACGAATCCATCGGTACTGCAGCTCGCCAGCTCGTTCTCGTTGATGGGGTGGAATGCGACGCGCTCCAACGCCGTCGCACCGCTTACTCCCACAGCGCGCAGCTCGGTCGAGTTCTTGAAGTTCGGCTTTTCAGGATTCCATATCCGCAACGTGCGATCTGCGGCACCGGTCGCGATAAACGTGCCCGGCGCATTCCATGAGATAGTGCGGATAAAGTGCGAGGAGGAGACGGGCGCATTGGGTCGGACGTTGTCAACATAGGAGATCGTTTTGAGCTTTGAAAATACGGGGGAGAAGCCTGATTTCCCGAGGGACCGCGCGCGTGCTGGAGGTGCCATTGGCCGAGAAGCTCTTCGTTGGGTGAGGGTGGGGGTATTGGTGAGGGTGTTTTTCTTTGTGGAAGAAGGAAGAGGGTGAACATGTGGAAAGCTAATTGCCTGATCCGATAAATCCTGCCAAGGGTGATCACCGGAACATCCGCCGTCCACAAAACTAAGTGTATTAATTAAGTAGCACTTATCGATGAAGAATTTTGTACAAATTTTCATTGAAGAGACCGATGGTTTGCTACAACTGCGAGTGTATTTACTTAGACCACTCCCAAAATTATATTGATTTTACATGACGAACATGGCCTTTAACCAAAAGCCATACACAATAAACACTACGATTAATAAGATGGTCCTGGAAAGGTTCAATAGAGTTTATCTAGAGCTCGTTCCTGTGGTTCCTCGCCTCCTCCACATCGTCTCCGTCTTCGCTCTTGTTCATATTCTCCATCATCTTCATCGCATCTGCATAGCTTTTGGTCTTGAAAGCGGAATCCGTCTCGTATTTCTCCTTCAGACCCTTGACCCTCTCCTTCAACATCTTCCTGTCCATGGCGGGTAACTTGACAGGAATCCTTTTTACTCCAAGATTCGTCATCATTTGCTGACAGTCTTCAAGATATTTTCCAAGTCCTGCGGCGTTGCAAGCGTCAGAGCGAGCCCCGTGGTCATTATCACATGCTTTCTGGGCACAAATCATGTCGATTCCACCGATATCGAAGGCAGCAGCTACGATAGCTTCCATGAGGTTGTCTGCGTCGTGTTGGAGTGATTTTGGAGGAGCTTTTGTACGTGCGTTTGAAGTTGTCTTTGCTTTAGAGGATGGTCTATTGGCATTTTTGTTGGATGCTCCGGCAGCAATGTAGCAATAAGATTGAGAGGAGAAGGAAGATAACGAGGGTGGCGTTCATGTGCTTCATTTTGAAGAGGAGTGATGTTATAGTTGGGTGAAATAGAATTGACTTTGAGGAATTGGAACAAGTTGCAAAGGAGAATGATGAGTATATAGACGATGTATTTGTACTTTTCGAAAGGAAGAAAAGAGAAGAGAGACGTATTGCGTACAGAATGTATGAACAAAGTGTATTGAAGGAGTCCTCGTAGGGAACAATTAGGTAGTGGCAACTTTGCAGCAAGATGAATCGACTTAGATATGGTGTTTTCCTAGAGGATTTTACTATATAGAGGATGCGCGTTAGATTTATTGAAATGATTGCATTTTGACACCAATGGTCGTCCATCATGTTCCTGCAAGTCATCCGGGAGCCCCCGCAAGGATGGTGAGCACAGACCGTCTGGGCACAGATTAAATCCAACCTAACCAGACGGACATTGGGATCGCGCCATCTTTATTTGAAGCTCACTCGGTCAAGAGAATTATATCATCACGAACCTACTGCGCAATTGCACTCACCTCAGTACCGCGTCTTCTGGATAAACATTTGTGCCCTCTCTCATTATCTGTTATTGTCATCATGAGTTTTGGCGGCCCAGGCGGCGGTCTGAACTACGCAAAACCGACCCCGTATGTTTGTCTGCGGCCTTGGGACAATACCCCTTGAGCTTCTCTATATGAATGGATCTAGCTTACATCTGCATCTGCATAGACCTGAGCGCGGCTCGTTCCCCCTCGATCACGACGGTTAGTGCCCTGCCAGCTCAGTCCCTCGATACCTCAGTCCCTCGATGCAAATGCTCGACCATGATTACTGACTTGAGATCCCAGGCGAATGCAAGTCTATCATGGCATCCTATCTCAGATGCCTTCGTTCCCATCGCGGCACCAATGACCCTGAATGCCGCAATTTGTCCAAATCGTACCTTTCGTGCCGGATGGACCGGTACGTGCCAACCATTTCCATTTCATTTCTCTCATTCACCCAGCTTTGTATATATTTTTTTTGTTTCAAGCCACTCCAGCAAGGGATACGTCCGTCTTGTAATATCGTCCTGTCAAAGTGAGCTGGACCGGATATTCGGGATGCTTTGGAAGCAAGGGAGGCGATGCTGCACCCTTCATTCCTCTTGTCAAGATCTGAAAAGCTGCGCCCAGCCCCATCCCCATCATCTGTTGGATGGTCCCATCCTCGCCCTCATTCGTTGGCATCCTTGCTGTCTCTACCCCGTCTCCACATTCCTCAGCGACTCTGACATTGCCCATTTCCCTATTTCCTTCTGTCATCCACTGCCGAACACGGCTCATCATTCCCTATCGCTACCGTAGTGACTATACTGATGTTGCAATGATAGAAACCTCATGGCCCCCGACTCTTTCAAGAATCTAGGCTTCAGCGACGGCGACGACTCTGATGTTGCCTCGCCCGCCCTCGACACTGCGACAGCAACCCAATCGCGACAGCAACCACAGCCTCAAAAGCAAGATAAGCCTCGTACGTTCTAGAGAGGCTAATGTGACATTGGAATGAAGGGTGTCGCGTCTTTGTCGGCGGTTCGATAGCTGTCAAATAGCCGAGCAGACGTCTACTTCATGTCCTACTTTTTTCTGCGAACGATGTTCTCTTTGCAGCAGCCGACATACTCGTGTTCAGTACACAAACGCAAGGGCTGGACCAAGAAAGGGCTACAGATCTGACAGGTTACATTACATGAAGCCCTGTAGCAGCAACCTGTCTCAACCTCTGACAAGACATGGGCGAGACAAAGATTTGGAATCAAAGGGTGGAGTTATGGGGAGAAATTCGATGCATGTTGGGGAAAGAGGAAAGGCAGGTAGGAATGACAGGACGACAAGATGTCGTAAGTTGCGCCACATGCAGTGACTCAAGCAGTGCAAACAGGGCATTGTAGCAAAAGGATGAGCCACAAGGTCATACTCAGACCCGCTTCGCCCACACCAAGGATGCGGTACAGATAAATGCTTAAGAGACTCCAGTATTGCATAGCCACAGTCTGGTATTCGACGCCGTGGTCCGTGTGCTGCACATATCCACCCCTCTCCGCGCAACTTGTCTCCCTGACACAACAACTCACAACAGCCCGCATTGCCGTATTTCGCCACCAAGTTGCGCCATGCACTGAAAGACTAATGACTCCAACTGTTAGATCAACAATAGATCAACAACAGATCTGCCGATCGATGTACTGATGGGTGTAACGTCGCACATGCGGCCACTAAACCGGCACGCAACCGAGCCACTTGGCATTTACGGGGCGTTTAGTTGGTACAGTGCGCCCGGATGCACGACGGGCTTGAAACGACGGGGCTGTAGATGAGGACAGATGATCTGATCGTGAGGTGACGTCGGTGGCAGATGGGCTACTTAGTGGACTATGGTAGGGTGCAGATGATGCACTGAAGAGGAGGATGGAGGGTGGGTGATATGGAGAGCTCCGTGTCCATGTGGATGGTGCTGGAGTATGGATGAGTAAATGGGTGGTGTGTGGATGGTGCTGGAGTATGGATGAGTAAATGGGTGGTGAGTGAGGGGGGCAGGAAGATACGGCCGTGATAGGACCAGAGAGGGAAGACGAGGTATGATGTGTGTGTGTGTGTGTGCATACAGGTGCGTTATCGATACTGCCTACATGCTATTGTTGATAGTGGTACTAACATGGTCATAGCAGTGTGTGTGTGTGTGTGTGTGTGTGTGTGTGTGGATCGTGGCGCCTCGATAACTAACGCTCTGTATAATTACTGATAGAGGAATTAGGACGGTTGCGCAGCACGTGTTAACGTCTACTTGAACTGCAGACATGGTCAGACCATTATTGAAGATCGGCAGTGGACGGGAGCTGCCTAATCCGTCTTGGATATATGATAATTATTTACTGCCTCGTCATCTGCGCGCGCACATGGAGCATACTGTAATGGCCCACAAGCACCAAAAAAAACATCTAATTACCCCAAGTCTCACGCACTCAAGGTCTGGTAGAACGGTTGGTATATGCATGATGCCTTGGAGGCAGCCTCCAAAATGTTGGCCAAGGTTTCGGATACGCATATGTATGTAGTAGTTCAACGGCCAAAAGCAGTGCAACCATGTCACGACATCACAGCCGCATAAGCAGTGATCGGACATCTCCACCGAAGCACAGAGCTAAACATGGCCCGCAACTGAGACCCACTCCTCTTGGCGCGTTGATGTACATATGTAAGCGTCTACCTCATGTTGGTGTTGTGGTAGGTGGTGTGGAGGGGCAGTTGGGAGATGAGACGAGGTTTCAGGCTAGAGTATGCCGATATGGTCTCGTGGGAATCGAGATCTGGGCTTGGAATGTGGGACAAGGTCGGTGCAGACTATAGGTCGACAAGAGAGAGAGAGAGAGAGAGAGAGAGAGAGAGGAACACTCGACTATAGGCCTCGATGCTTTCATTCCCAAGACCAGCTTCCAAATACCCACACCCACACCCACACCCCCAACTTGGCAGACGGTCCATCTCGGTGCAACAACCAAGACTGACTCACCTCTCACCCAAGAACAACAACAACAACAACAACAAACCCCTGGCAGGTCTTACATACTCCAAAGTCGCCACGACATATGTCATGCCCATTTTCACTTCTCCATGCATGACCTCCCCCCCCCACCATCTTCTCAGACACCAAGACTTCTTTTCCTTCTTCCTACTCGCCCCCCTACCCTCAAATATGCTGTACTTACTTACCAACCCATGCCTTCCAAACCACCTTAGCGCCCTTGATAGCTATGTACATATGTACACGATATCACTATCTATGTATGTACGGTACATACACAAGCACAGCATTGACATATCCGCCCATGATGCGTCCTCCTCCTCCTCCTCCTCCTCCTTCTTCTTCTTCACCCCGCCATTGCACAGCATATTCGTACCACACGCACCTTTTTCTTTTACCCCCTACCCCTCCTTCCACGTCCGTCCACAACCGCCTGCCTGCCCGTCCACCCCAAGCACCCACCCACTCACTCAACCCCTCTTAGCGTGTGGTTACACACATCGGATGGGTAGCTGATGTGGGCTTGTGAGAGAGAGAGAGAGAGAGAGTACGATATAGATGGGAGGTGTGCGTGTTACGAGATCTGGAGGGGAGGGAGGGAAGAGGGCAAGGGGGGACGCGAAGGCGTTTTGTGGCTTGTTTGAAGTTTGAAGTTTGGGCTGCTCGAATAATTTCTTTTTCATGGATAAATCCACTACTCACTTCGCCTGTAGTTGCATGACTTGGTTTGCTGTAAAGGGAGAACGTGCATGTTTCATTGTGAAGAACGCGTCATAGGTGCCAGTGACGGTTGACAGACAAACAAACAAACAAACAAACAAACAAGGATAGATAGATAACTAGATGCTGTCTTTTTCCAGGGATAATTATCATTTAGCTATTTCACCTCTTTTCAGGCATTCACAATATCCACGTTTCACACTGCGGGAATTGCAGCCAGCCTCGAAAGAATGTTAGGGGCTGCGCCCTGCTCCGCTCACAGAGCAGGAGGCGAATCTGGTATTCTGACCCGAGGCCGGGGTTATGGGCGAAATTCCAAGGCAAGCATGGCTGAGGCACCAACTACGAATCAAATCATCACGACAACCAAGCACCACATGGTGAAAAGTTGTCAAGTTTCCTGATGATATTTGATTAAAATAGGATACTATCCTAGCTATACCTGATCCATCCTAAGCGCGGAATTAGAAGAGAAAGTAGCTGAAAATGAGAGGGAAGAACAGCGAATCGCAAAGGAAATCCTAGCCCCCATGAAAACAATAGTCAGTGCACATCTCTTGCACTCTGCCATTCATCGACCATCAGCCGATGTCAATGATGCATCTAGCCATCTCTCATTCCAGACGCAGCAAAAGGCGTCGACGTAATACCTGTAACGCCAACACAACGCTCCGTTCCCATGCCTCTGCTCGCCATGTAAAATCAAAAAAGTATCAAAGAAATGTGCTGAGTGGTGATTTGAAGACGAAATCTGCGATAGTATCCGATGAAACAGCCCATACAGGCGAAAAAGCAAATGTAGTCTCAACCAAGGATAAGAAATGTCAAAAGAAAAGAGGAACAGATACTGCCTGGTAACCAAGGAGCATTTGGGCCATATAGGAATAACCGCGAAGGAGATACGCAACTGCAAACTCAGCTGAAGAAGAGGTCCGAGATTTCAAGCTCTCCTCTCTTGATAGTGT